GGTATGAAGACTTGGGTGTGTCATCACGGACCCAGGCTCTTTCGTGAGCATCGTGCCCCTGGACACCAGGGGTGTTTTTCTCTATAACTCTGAGGGTCGGGACGTTCATTCTGACAGCCATGGGGAGGCAGTAGCTGCAGAGGCATTTTAGCGTCACAGGGTCCTAGGGAGCCACCTGCTTTCCTTTTACAATACTAATCCCAACTGTTCAGGATGGTCCCCTGTTACATCCTGATCAAAATACTTACTGGAAACCTCATTTCTCACTTCCCTTGCAAAATATTAAGTCTAAGTTGGAAGCCCCTGAGAGGTTTCTGGTTTTATGTTCCTGAGCTCTCATTCCGTATTCCTAGGGGACCCCCCCCCAACCTCCATAAAAACCCTGGACAGGGGGTGAGCTTCTCACTGGCAGCACTTTCCTCATGTCACGTGTTGTGGCTGGGAGAATTAAGCGTATCCCCAGGCAGCTGCACAGGAGGGGACCCTTGGAAGCTGGTGACTGGTTTCCTCTGGACTTTGACCCATGGGCCTTTCTCCATTGCTGGTCTTAGTCTGTGTCCTTCTGTTGTGATAAACCATAACTGTTCTGAGTCTTGCAGCCCTTCCAGCAAATTATCAAGCTCTAGGGTGGCCTTGGGGACTCTTGACACAACATCATACCCAATGGGGATAGTTGTAAGATGGACCGACAGCTATTAGGGATCCTCTTAAGTGCCGCCTGTCACGTGCTGCAGGGCATTTCTGTTCCTAGCCTTGGCCTGGGACCACGAAAGCCAGTACGGTATTAATAGTAACCACCTGGGCTGTGCCCTAGTATCGACAACATGAATTGGACGACTACCATGAGAACACAGGGAGGACCCCCTGGGTAGATCCCACAACCACCCCAAAGGCAATTCTACAAGAGGAAGAAACTGAAACTGAGGTCTAACTTGTTTGGAAATTCAAATTTGTTAAAATAGTTTATTACACAATTATTATATGAAAAATGTCTAACTGGCTTTTATGCCTATATAATCCAGGCTCTGTTAACTTTAGCTTCTGCTGAGATGTGTGAATTTGAATTTTTTGTTTTGTTTTTTAATATTCATCATGTGCTTTTAAGATGTGTACATTTGGCCTGCATATCTTGTGGTCTTCAAATTAATAATCGCAGAATCCACCAGACTTCTGGAAATGGAGGTGCAATTTCCACTGGCCCCACGTCTCCAGCCTGATTCCCATGCCTGGCTTGCTCCAGATGTTCATGGCATGGAAAATAGCTCACCCTGCTTCAAACCCTGACTTCTACCCTAGCCTAACCTTTAGCTCCCTAACTCTCGCCTAATTCCTAACCACCCTAACCCCCACCCCCACCCCCAGGCAAACCCAACCCAAACCCTGACACTGACTCTCCTCTGGTTTAACCTTGGCCTGACCCTGACTCTAACTAGCACAGACGCTCTGACCTCTTAAGTAGGCAAGACGCATCTGGTGCTAGGAAGGCCATTCTGCCCTCTGCTGCTTGGGGGCCTGGCAACACGAGGAGAGCCCCTCTGCCCCAGCGTTACCCAGCAGCCTGTTCCCAGGCCCGCCCTCCTGCTTCTGCCGGTCAGGGCTTTCGTCAAGACAGGAAAAGTTGTGCCACTCTGGAGTACTGCCATAGAGACAATTAGGGGCCCTATATTTCATATTTCAAAGTGGAAATTGCTTATTATACAGATCAGAAAATAAATAAATGTTTGCCATTTTAATAATTCAGAAATTTAGAAGCCAGTTCTGACGCATCATCTAGATGCAAGAACATCTGGCGCATCTCCTTGCAGACACCCCCTATCTCAGGGGGTCTTATGCAGATTCCTGCCCAGCCTCTACAGCATGTTCTGGGGGAGGGGAGGGGCCTGCACCTTGTTTGCTCTCGTTTTATTTTGGGAGCAAGCAGAACAATCGTATCAGCGGAGCTGAGCCCTCTGGGAGCAGTTGGGTTTGGGTGCAGCCCTTCCTGCTGGGTTTAGGAGGATGCCCCCAGCCACAGAGGATTCATTTCCAGGCAAAACCAAAGGGAAATCTTGGGCTCACTTTTGAATTTTTTTTTTTTTTAAGAGACAGAATCTCACTATGTTGCCCAGGCTGGACTTGAATTCCTGGTCTCAAGCGATCCTCCCGCCTCAGTCTCCTGAGTCACTGGGATTATAGGCTCACGCCACTGTGCCTGGCTGGGGCTCACTTTTGGACAATTCTATTTGTTGCACCCCAAACTCTAGGCAAGTGAGTCTACATGTCTTAAATGTTAGTGCACCATTGCTAAATGGGGTTTATTTCAATAACACAAAGATGATATAACATTGGAAAATCCTTTTACATATCCAATAAAATCTCCATAAGAGATGTGTGTGTATGAAAAACGGAATAGCAGACAAAAGACAGGAATAGACAATTCATATGGAGAGAAAAACAGTCAACAAACAGGTACAAATACGTTTTTTTTTTTTTTTTTTTTTGAGACAGAGTCTCACTGTGTTGCCTGGGCTAGAGTGTCGTGGCGTCAGCCTAGCTCACAGCAACCTCAAACTCCTGGGCTCAAGCGATCCTCCTGCCTCAGCCTCCCGAGTAGCTGGGACTACAGGCATGCGCCACCATGCCCGGCTAATTTTTTCTATATATTTTTAGTTGTCCAATTAATTTCTTTCTAATTTTAGTAGAGATGGGGTCTCGTTCTTGCTCAGGCTGGTTTCGAACTCCTGAGCTCAAACAATCTGCCTCGGCCTCCCAGAGAGCTAGGATTACAGGCGTGAGCCACTGTGCCTGGCAGACAAATACGTTCTTAATGCATCAAAATGGCAAATATAAAAAGTGAGGTGGAAAGACCCAGTGCGGGCCAGGGTGTGGGGACGCAGGCTCAGGAGAGCCGGTGGGAGATGGCACCTGGGCCGGCCATACTGGATGGACTCCATCGAGAAACATCAGCGACCTTGCAACATTCCAAACCTTCACCCAGCAACTGCACTTCTCAGAATTTATTCTGAGGAATTAACCAAAGACAGAGACAGGGGTTTATGTTCAAGAATTATTTATAAGTATAAATACTTTTGTTGTTCAACAATAAAGAAACATAAATCATGCTACAACTATAGGATAGAAAATAATGTAGCCATCAATATTGTTTTTGAAAGATATTTTATAGCATGGAAAATGCTTATAATAAAATGTTAAATGGAAAAGGGTAAAAATAATATGTAGAATATAAATCTAGTTTTCTTTTAAAAGAAAAAGCATATTATATGTGCAGAGAAAAAAAGCTGGAAGGAAATACATCTAAACGTTACTATACTGATTCCCAGGTAATGCACCATGAACTCATACTGAGGGTCATTTGTATTCTTATAATTTTGTGATTTTCCCCCATTTCTTTGATATACATATATTACTCATATAATCAGGGGGAAAGTTGTTTATATGTAAATAAAAGAAAAACATCAAGAGTCCAATGGAAAGAGGGACAAAGCACATATTCAAATATTTTTCAAGAAGAAAAACCAACAATAAAAATACATCCAATATTTAACCTCATTACTTATCAAAAGTACAAGGTAAAATAATAAGATGTCACTTTCAGCTCATTAAGTTAAAAGCATTCCAGGGCACAGCATCCAGGGCCCAGGAAAATATTTTAATTTTAATTTTTTTAAACTAGGAAGAAAACTGAATATTATAACAATGAATCAAACCTAGATTGCAGGCTGGGCATGGTGGCTCATGCCTGTAATCCTAGCACTTTGGGAGCCCAAGACCTGAGCCCAGGGCAATAGCAAGACCCCATCTCTACAAAAAATAGAAACATTAGCCAGGCGTGGTGGCTCCTGTAGTCCTGGCTACTCAGGAGGCTGAGGCAGGAGGATCACTTGACCCTGGGAGTTTGGGGCTATAGTGAGCTATGATGTCACCCTGCATGCTACCTGAGCAACAGAGCGAGACCCTATCTCAAAACAAACAAAAATCTAGATTATATTTTTCTTTTACCAACGCAGCTATAAAGGGTCCCACGACTGTCATGATATGGCTTTGAGATGTGCTATGAGAGGCCAGCACCTAGACACTCCTGAGGAAAGCAACCGGGCAACACACACCAAGGATCACAAACATGTTGTCACCCAGCACTGAGCAAAGGTCATCCAGACACCCAACTTCCAACAGTCCTGTCTCCAGGAGATGGACCAGCAGGGGACTTTCCTGCCTGATCAATATCGGTGATTGATTTCTTAGTAATGAAACACACTACAAAAATATACCAAAATAATTCCTGAAGATGTTCATTTCCTTTATCTTAAAATTTTCACTTCTAGAAATCTAAGAAAACACCAGCGAAGTATAATGCAAAAAGATGCTCAGTGAAGAATTAGTTATGACAGTGAAAACACAGAAATAACTTCTCTATCCAACAAAAGAGATCCTAATGGACCAGACAGAACATAGTGCCTCCATTTAGAATTATAACTTCAAGGACAGTTCAGTTACTTAAAAAAAAAAATTCTGCTATACAGCTAAGAGGGAAAAAAAGATGAAAAATGATAGATACACTATGTTTAATGTAAAACTCTTAATATGAACAAAGCAGAAGGTAATGCATCAAAGTGCAAAATGCAGTTTTATTAAGCATTATGAGCATCTTATTTGTCTTAAGTCCACATTTTCTGAAGTGTGGCTGTTTTGCCTTCGTATTTTAAAAAGCACCAAAAGCATTTCATCAGCTACAGTACTCCATACAAATGTGAAGTATTACCACTGAGAGGGCAGCTTATTCTTGCTTTGGACTGAGTAGAAGAGACATTCACTCCAGTTTAAGTCTGTCTTCCTATCTCTGGAGAGCGTGGGCATGGAGAGGGTCACCTCTTCTGGGGTTTGTACAAGGGCCCCAGGTGGGCTGGCCATGGAGCCCACCCGACTGTGCTGTCAGTAATGGACGGCTCTAGAGTAGAGCTATGTACACGAGATAAGTCCAGGAAATTCGCTTTTTTCCAAATGCCCACCATCCAAGATTATTCTCCCCTCCAGAAATATAACAGTGTTCACTGGGAAGTAATACTGCTCCTGATTCTTCTACTTTATTATACTTATTCTGAACATTCCAGTTTACAGAGGAAATTCCAGCTAGAAACCATGCCCCTCTGAGGACACAATAGTTGACACACCTTCTTTTTATCTGTAGGAACGATCTGTTTCCTTGGCGATGACTTCCAGACCCAACAAGGAAAACAGGTGACAGGGCTTCCTGAAATGGCCCTAAGGCTCTCCTCTTGAAGCATATCCCTTGCAGGGAGGTGACTGACTCTAACTAAAGGAGGTGTCGCGGCATGTCCGCCTGACCAGGCGATAAGGCAAGGCTCATGCTTCTGGACGAACAAGTGGCCTGGACCGGTGCAGCTGGGAAGGAACGCAGTTGGGCCTCTCCGAAAGTGGCTGCACCAAGTTAGTTGCGAGGTTTGCTCCCCAGGGGGAAACTCCTGCTGGCTGGGGGCGGAACCACGCACAAGAGCTTGGCCACATCCAGTGCGTTCATCGGGTCCACGTCCCGGTCCTCTGAGTCCCCTGCGCCCAGCAGACTGCCAGGCACATAGTACGTGCTCAGCAGGTGTTTGTTGAACTGGATGGCAAAAGGCTTCTCCCGGCTGTGCAGCCTCTGGTGCTCCAGGAGGTGCGAGCTCCAGCTGAACCTCTCACCGCACTCGCCGCACTTGAGCGCTTTCTCTCCGGAGTGAATCTTCTGGTGTTTGATGAGACAGTGGTTCTGGCTGAAGGCCTTGCCGCACTCGCTGCACTTGTAGGGCTTCTCGCCCGTGTGGATGCGCTGGTGCACGATGAGGGACGAGTGGCAGCTGAAGGCCTTCCAGCATCTGCTGCAGTCGAAGGGCTTCTCGCCGGTGTGGACGCGCTGGTGCACGATGAGGTAGGAGTGCGAGCTGAAGGCCTTGCCACACTCGTTGCACTTGAAGGGCTTCTCGCCGCTGTGGATGCGCCGGTGCACGATGAGGTAGGCGTGGCAGCTGAAGGCCTTGCCGCAGTCGGCGCACTCGAAGGGCTTCTCGCCCGTGTGCGTCCTCTGGTGCAGCGTGAGGCGCGAGCGGTTGTTGAAGGCCTTCTCGCACTCGCCGCACTTGAACGGCTTGTCCCCGTTGTGGATCTTCTCGTGCACGGTGAGGGACGAGTGGCAGGTGAAGGCCTTGCCGCAGGCGCCGCACTTGTAGGGCTTCTCGCCCGTGTGGATGCGGTGGTGGCGCGTGAGGTGCGTGCGCTGGTTGAAGGCCTTGCCGCACTCGCCACACTTGTAGGGTTTCTCGCCCGTGTGCACGCGCAGGTGCATGTTGAGCAGCGAGCTGCAGCTGAAGGCCTTGTCGCAGGCGCTGCACTTGTAGGGCCGCTCGCCCGTGTGGATGCGCTGGTGCACGTTGAGGGACGAGTGGCAGCTGAAGGCCTTGCCGCACTCGCCGCAGAAGAAGGGCTTCTCGCCCGTGTGGCTGCGCCGGTGCTCCAGCAGGTTGGTGCTCCACGTGAAGGCCTTGCCGCACTCGGTGCACTTGTAGGCCTTCTCCCGGCCGTGCCAGCGCCGGTGCAGCGTGAGCGACGAGCTCTGGCGGAAGGCCTTTCCGCACTCGCCGCACGCTAACGGGCCCTCTCCGGCGCCTGCTGCCCGCCTGGGTGCGCGGGGGAACTTACCCGGCTCCCTGGACTCGAAAGGGTTTTCCCTGGCCCACGTCCTGGCCGGGGCTTCGGTTCCGTCCTCAGGGGACTGTACGTCCTTGCTGCGTCTGTCGGGACAGTGGCCTCCTGGGGGCATGCTCTGCTGGGCGGACAGGGCGCACCTGAGCGGGAGGTTCTCCTCAGACTCCCCGAGTCCTGGCTCCGCAGAGACGTCCCTGGGGGTGGCAGATGCTGGCTGCCAGCGCACAGCAGGGCTCGGCCGCAGAGCACCCGCCTGGCTCTCCCATGCCCACGCGTCGCCCAGGCTGGCGCCGTGAAGGCCGGGCCTCGGCACTCGCCCCACAGCCGGCTCCCGGGATGGTTCTTCTTTGTAAACGTCCTGCCGTTGGGAGGACTCCTCCGTCTCAGGCCCGTGCGCCCATTCTGTAAGAAATGGAAAATGCAGTTTTCTGAGTAGGTGGAAGCATGGCCCTGGAATTCAGTTTCGTTTTTGGTTTTGGAGGTTTTTTTTTGAGATACTGTCTCACTCTGTCACCCAGGCTGGAGTGCAGTGGCTCGATCATAGCTCACCACAGTCTTGAGCTCCTGGGCTCAAGCTTGTCCTCCTGCCTCAGCCTCCGGAGTAGCTGAGACTACAGGTGTGCATCACCATGCCAGGCTAATTCTTTTAATTTTTGTAGAGATGGGGTCTCAATATGTTGCCTAGGCTCATCTTGAACTCCTGTCCTCCCAGAGTGTGGGATTACAGGCATAGCCACTGCGCCGGGCCGGGGATTCAGATATGAGAGCCAACCTGGAGACCCAGATAAGCTCAGAAAAGAGCAGCAGCCAATGGAGACAAAAAGCTCAGAGGCACGAAGGCAGAGAGAAAAAGGACAGCGTCCAGGATGAGATGGGTAAGCGACACAGAAAGGGAAGGGGAGGAGGAAATGGGAAGGAGCCACCAGAGAGTGCAAAGACCAGAGAGGCGGAAGAGCCCAGGGGGTCCAAAATGAGCAGCTCCAAACGAGTACTCGAGTACCCAGGGTGGGGCTGAGAAAGGGGCAAGCTCAGGGACTGGTGACCAGGATCCATTCATTCGTGGGAACACTGACGATGGACTGCTGCCTGTCAATGCCATGTCGGGTGCTTCGCATAAACACAGGGTAAATGCAAGTCTAAAAAAATAAATTAGAAATCTTCCCTGGAGCCAAAAGGGAAAAAGGACCCCACAGACACGCATCAGCGTCCTCTTCAGAACACTGGGAATTTTACATGCTTTCTCTGTCTCACAGGCCTCAGATCTTTTCAGGAGCTCAATAAGCCTCGTGCCAGCTCTGCATCCTGATGTCTTCCTCGGAGCCCCTGCAAAATGGGGACGCAGAGCAGGGGGGTGCATCCTGCCTGCTTCTGTGGGAGTCTAGTCCAAGATGTACCTCTGCCCGGTGCACCGGGATAGAGCTTCCTGGCTCTGTAAAGGGAGTTGGTTTCTTTCTGTGCCCTACACAGCATCTGGTTAAATACTTATTCAAAAAGAAGGTTTTCTGGGCTGGCAGGAGATTTTACTTCTAATTCTATCTTCTCTAACAGCTTTGAGGACTGCAGACTAGCATAACGGAGAGAGGTACACGGTGGCACTGCGTGGGGCCCCAACCTGTCCGAAGTGGCTGGGCACGGGTGAATGGCCCTGGCAGGACAGACAGCAGGTAGCTAGGCGGAGGGGGAACAATGTGTGCAGAAGCTCAGACGTGACAGTAAGATGAGGATGAGACGTGCAGAGGGGGAAGACTGAGAGTGGCCCTGGCAAGGTGGACGGGTGCTGGGACACGAGGCACCTGACCCAGAGGGTGCTATGAGAACAGTGCATCTTAAAAATGGCTCTCGTGGCGTATAAGGAGGGTGGAGCAAGCTGGTCATCAGGAGACCAGTTAAGGAGATCCTCTAAAACATCTAGGTGAGAAATGGCAATCTCAGATTGGTGCCAAGGCCATGAGAATAACATGGGGCAGCAGATTCAAGAAATATTTAGGAGCTAACGTTGATTGTGCTCCTTGCTGTTGACTGAAGGTGGCAGGAGGGGGACGGAGGAGAGAGCGAGCAGGCCAAGCCCGGGTGGATGGTGGAAGCTTTTAGAAAAGCAGGGATGGGAAGAGGAAGGGCCAGTTCTGAGTCTGGTTTCAGACACGTGAGCAGAGGCCCCCACAATGGTTAGTGACACAGGGCTGCAGCGACGCCAATGCAAGCAGGCGGTGGAGAGTCCACCGAGGCGCACTGAGCAGGGAGAGAAGGGGCTGAGGCCGGAAAAAAGTAGTTTTGGCCGCAGGAAGGGCTGATGCAGCGATAGGGCATGTCCACGTAACTCCAGACACCGTGCAGTCAGCGAAGGGCACGTGCTGGTGCTCACCACGGCAGGGCGAGTGCAGAGAGCGAGAGTCCAAAGCGCACGCTGCAATTCCAGGGGCATGTGTGGTTTTTAAAAAATGCCTATCCATACACAGGGGAGCAGCTGTGAGGAAATACAGAGAAATGAAACAGGCTATAGCTGAGCAGAAAGATTTGGGAGATTTCAAAATTTTTCTGTATTATTCTAATTTTCAGTATAAACATATATTAACCAAACAAAAACATTAATTTTTTTAAAAACTCTGTTCTCTTTTGACAAAGAGAACAGAGACAGCAGCAGAGGCTGGGGTGAGAAGGAAAGTACAGGAAGTTGGGGCTATGGCTGCCATTACGGGGTGGGGGGGGAGGCGAGCCTGGGTCGGGGTGCGGGGAGTTAGGACTGTGGAGGGGCCGCCTCACCCTCCCCCCAGCCACCCTGGCACCGTACATGGATGGTCCTGTGGCTCTGTGTTTAACTGCACTGCGGCAGCCTTTCCCACAAAACGGTATGTGTTTCATGCTTCCCAGATACCCAACACGCTCAGCGGTCACTGTCCACTAAATTAAGCTGAAATTATATAATTCACTTATTCATTAAATGACTCAGAAAGAAGTCTATGGCAAAAAAACGTCAGAGAAGAAAAACAGACCACCTTCTGCCTAGGACCCGTCCCTGGCCTCTTTCACTTGGGAAGGCCAGCACCTTGGCTGTGGCCCAGTGGACATAGCTGACCCTGACCTGACCCTGGCCTGACCAGTGCCACCTCCCACTGTCTCCTTACAGCTCCTGTCCCTTCTTCTCAGTGAGCGGAGCCTCAATTCCAACCCCACACACACTTCCCGCCCCCCAGCAAATGCCACTTGTTAAATATCTCCACCCACGCGGTGCTCTTCCTGTGTCCCCCACCCCCACCAGCAGGCAGGCATCTGGGCTGGCTCTGTTCACTGCTATCTTCCCAGGACAGATCCTACACATAGTCGGTGCTCAATACATGCTGGAGGGAGGGAGGCGGGAGGGTCTAGCAGGGCCCCTGGGAAGGTGGAGGGAGCCAGGGCAGTGGGAACGTGGAAGGAAAACCAGGGCCATGTGAGGAGGTGAGGAGGGGGCACCGCAGGCAGGGCCAGCACCCTTCCACCTGTGTCGCCCGCTCACCTGGACGAGACCCTCCAGGGCCTTCCCTCTGCACCTGCCACGGCTCCTCGCCTCGTTCCAGATGGGAGATCACATCTGGCTTGTGGACTGGAGGCCCTGCTCGTGGGAGAAAGCAGTGGGGCTGGGTGTGCCGAGGCGCTCCAGGCCTAGCCAGCCTTATGGGACGTCTCATGAACAACGGAGGGCATGTGAAGCGTACACCACTGCCTGGCAACAGGAAGCCCCCTGGGCCCTAGAGTGGTGAGGGGCTTCAGAAGTGGAACCCAAATTATAAATGCTCTGAAGATGCTACACGTGAGGACACCCTCCCTTCATTGCACGAGGACAGCTGCAGGGCAGGCTGGGCTCTAGTCCTCCCTCCTCTCCCTGCCCCCAACTCTGGGACCAGGGATGATTCCCAGTGAGGGTGCCACCAGCTACCATGCTGCCCACTGGGGACTTCTGGCATGGCAGAGGCCCCTGGCCATGAGTGCTTGGAGGCAAAGGCCATGTTTCCCACGTCATGACACTTCTGGAACCAGGGCTGGTGCTTAAGGGACCCTTGGTAATATCTACCACGTGGGAGAAGCTGAGAGCAGACGCCCAGCCTCCAGGGAGCCCCTTACCGAGAGCAAGGAGGTTCTGGTAGTTCTCCAACATCACATCCCGGTACAGGGCCCTCTGCGGGGAGTCCAGCTGACCCCACTCCTCCTGGGTGAAATCCACAGCCACATCCTTGAAAGTCACTGATTCCTGAAATGACATGTACATTCTCACTCACCCAGGACAGGAATGACTCTGTTTCCATGGTTCCCAGGGAACTACAGATTGATTAAGGACCTTATGAGTAAAGGGTAACCCTCAGTTGACCTTCTCTCAAGCATAGAAGGTTGTGCTGTAGGCACTGGCCATGGCTGAGTTGGGGACCAGGGGCAGGGAGCGGGGCTGGGAATCAGCACGCATGCCCCCAGCCAGCCTTCTGGACCGGAAAAGTGAGTCTGAATGGACAGTGCTGGGCCCTGGCAACTGGAGGTGGGGCTCGTGGCTGCTGCACTATGCACCACGTCCTGGGTGAGATGCTATGCTTTCCTGGGTCAAGAATTTCTAACTTAAAAAACTTGAAAGAATACTACAAAATACCCAGCAACTCTATTCAGAACTCACTATTGGAAAAGGAGACAACTCAACTAGAAACCATTATTATACTCCAAGGAAGGAAACCTTGTATGTATCAGCAAGTTCTGTGCCCCAAGGGACTAAGAGTCCACTTGGAGTCCTCATCTGACTGCTTTCCACTCCTTCCTGCTTCATACCTCCCTGCTCCCCCCAGGCCTGGTATCCCAGCTGCCACCCAACCCCAGGCTTGCTTTGATCCTTGAAAAGACCAAACTAATGCCAAGTAATTTCACTGCATCCCAGAAACATTTAAGGAATTCCAAAAACCCACTTAACAAAGTAAAATTCACAATGTCCAGCAACCAATCAAATAACTAAAAGGAAAAAAATGTTAATGAAATCAGAGGAATTAAGAATATACTAGAATAGTATTTGTTTACCTCAAAAGAAGGCATTAAGGGAGGAACAGAGAAACAAAAAAGACACAAGACATAGAAAACAAATAGCAAAATGGGAGATGTAAATCTAACCATATTAATAATTACATTAAAAGTGAATGGTCTAAACACTCTAATTAAAGGGTGGAGATTGTCAACCTGAATAAAAAAGCAAGACTCAACTATTTGCCGGCTACAGAAACCCACTTTAAATACAAAGATAACCAGAGGTTAAAAGTAAAAGTATTGAAAAAGATATACCCTGCAAACACTAATCAAAAGAAAGCTGAAGTAGCTGTATTAACAAAGTTAATTTCAGAGAAATATTCATATCATCAGACATAAAGAGAGATATTACATAATGACAAAAGGGTTAATTCTTAAAGAGCTTATAACAATCCTAAATATAGATGTACCAACTAATAGAGCTTCAAAATACATAAGCAAAAACTGACAGAACAGCCCGGGCGTGGTGGCTCACGCCTGTAATCCTAGCTCTCTGGGAGGCCGAGGCGGGCGGATTATTTGAGCTCAGGAGTTCGAGACCAGCCTGAGCAAGAG